TTCCTAGAATTTCTCTGATGCATTAACTGACTGTCTTGACCATATGCAATCACATGCTCTTATGGACATTAGGTAGTACTTTGTTTTCTTTACTATATCACTAAGAAAATTTTCAAATCTGCTGCTACTTTTAGCATGCAAAATGCCTATGATTTTGTTTGGTATTGATTAGTACTCTTTCTCTCTTACAGTTTTTTCCCCTTGTCTTAAGTTTATGTCCCAATCCTTTGCACATTGTCAATTTCTCTGACTTAATGTATTATGTAAGCCAACAATACAATCTTTACTAACAAAACCATAAATTTCTCTGGTCTAAAACTAGAGAAATTCTCTCAAAACCAGACAGATTAGAGAAATTCTCTCTATTTGCAGAGTTGTATTTTTATGAACAAACCTTGGTTATTGTACATTGATCTAGGAAATTTCTCTAACTTCACAAATTTCCTGGCTCTATTCACAAAGAATTTCTTTGACTTTGTGTAATATATTTGTCCAGATGAAATTGGTCCAGAGAAAATACCTCAATATTTTCATTCTTATGCTTTCATCATCAAAATAAATATTTTCATTATTCAATTTCTGCCCACAGTGAAAGAGTTTTTCATTAACCAGTAGACATAAATGCCCACTGTTATATTCCCCAAACCTACTGTGATGATTCCCATCGTACATAAAAGGTCTACATAAATATATGTATGTATATGTGTGGGTTTTTATGCTAGTGAATTGAAAGAGAGGAAAGAGGCATGGTTCTGGATGTGTATATATATACCTGGTTTGGTTGGTCTGAATTTTCTCTGGGTTGTTGAACTTTTTTTGGTCTGAATTGAATTTTCTCTGGGTTGGGTTGGTCCAGAGAAATTCTCTGGTTAATTTCTCTGAATTTTTATTCCACCAAAATCAATGCAGTATAATAACAGTGCGTATAAAATAAATAATCCTTACAGTAGTCATTCATCTTGATGCTAAAAAAACTGAACTTCACAATCAATTTATATTCATTTTTGTTTGTCTTCTTCCTTTATTGTGGTTTTATATCTTCCATATTAACCAATATAGTTATGACAACAGGATAAGAGTGATGCTTTCATGAGGATAACAAATAGCATTTATGAGAAAGAGGAGAATGCTCCATACCGAAGAGTGACAATTCTATTAATTTGAAAATGTTGAAGAACAGATTAATCCTCTTTTTGGGAAGGAAAAACATAGTTGGTAGTGAAATCTGGTTCAAAATGATGGGGAGTTGTTGTAGGTTTTGAGGGAAAAGAGGATCCCAAACCCAAGGGGAGTTTGGGTCACTTGGATGGACGCCTGTAGCGTGGCAGCGTTTCAAGTGGTGGTGAGTGCTGTTCGGCCGCCACAGACGGCGTCGCCGGGGACACCAACTGGGCATTTTGCAGTCTACGAAACTCCAACATTATTGATCAGAACTCCAACATCCAGACCTTCAATGGTTTCACGAATCCGATTAACCCCTTCGTTCAAATCTCCAGAGAAATCAACAACCACAGTCTTGATCTGGGTTTTCTCGAATTTGGCTCCGATCGACTCCGAAACCTCCTTGAGTTTCTCGGGGTTTCGACCAACAAGAATCAAATTCAGACCTTTATGTTCGTGACTTGGTTATCCTCTTTGGCTATGAGAGTGCAGGTGTAATATAAGAGTACGGGGGTGAGGGACCTTAGACTACAAAAGAACATATCGTGGACCTAATCCATTACTAAAAGTTGGATAGGGACCTTAGACCGATTTTTCCTTTTTTCATCTAATTCTCCCAATAGACTCCCTATTTTTTTTCTATTCCATTAACAAATTCTATATTTTTTCTTTATTCTATTAAAATATAATTTTTCATTATAAATTTAAAAAAAATAAAAATCATAAATGTGTACTACAATCCCTAAACAAAGCAAAGCAATATATATATATATATATATATATATGGGTGCTACAGTGAATCCTTGCAAATAGTCCTACAAATAGGGAGACACTGTAACAATTCCTATTTTAAGGGAGTGTTTATAGGAGTTACTGGAAGTATATAGAGGCCATCAAACCCCTTAAAATAGGTAAGGAGGGGATACAAATGCTCTAAGAAACCCCATCTAGGGGTACGAAAAATAAAAAAAAATAAAAAAAGATCAAATCGATTGAATTGGACTGATCGATTATATTTGATTTATTTTTTTTAACAAAAATCGGTTTGTGTGGCTTTTAAATTTAATTTTTTTTAATATTTATTTTCAGTTCGATATTGGTTCGAGCACTTTGTGTACTGAACTAAATCGAAACTAATCGTTTCAACATATATTATATTTATAATATATATAATCTAATAATATAATGATATATATAATGATATTAATAAGTATAATAAATTATTAACCTTAATTAATTAACCTTATCATATCTATAATCTAAGTTTATAAACTCATTATATGTAATGTTAACTCTAACTCTTTATTCTTGAAATTTTAATATTTTTTAACTTTTTTTGTTTGTATTTTTGTGAATCTAAAAATTGAAAAGTATTTATTAATAAACAGATGTATTGGATATGTTTGAAATGGTCGGCGAATAATTAATTTAATATTTTTATATAGATTAGTGATTATATTAAAAAGTGGCTTAAGTTTGAAAGATCATGAACTAATCAAACTGCACCGAATTAAACCGTTTCAATCGGTTTGGTTCAGTATGGTTTGATGGGAAAAGTCATCTGTTACCAAATCGATTCCATCCATACTCTTATCCAATAGGACCCAATAATGTTTTAACTCCAAAGCAAAAGTTAAATCCATGACCATATAAATTGATTGAAAATAGAATTCATATCGATAGACAAAAATGAATCCACTAATAAATCTTATGACATCAAGCAGAACACAAAAGTGTTTCATAAATTGAAATATAGATGTGAGACAAAAAGATAGAGCCCACATAAACATTTTCTTAGGGTCTTCATCTTGTTTATTCATCCATATTTTGTGTTTAGTTTTCTAATCGATTTATGTGATTGTAGTATAATCAATTTATCTTCACTGATGTTTTTGAATTTTGAATATGTGAAAAAAAATTGTAAGGAAAAAAGGAAAATGAAAGAATTTATGAAAAAATAAATTTTATTTCATTCAGAAAACACTCCTTCCATTATTATTTTTAGATAGTACACTCCTCCCATTTAAAATCCAAACACAACCCACCTCACCCTACAGCAACCGGCACCACCAGTACTACCCACCAGCAACACCATTGATCTGCTGTGCTTAATTTGATTATTACTAGTTTGATTAAAAAATATAGCCCATTCCATGAACTTAATATGCACAATTAAATATAAAAATAAATATTTTATTCCACTTACATTTCATTCCTACTTTATTTTATAAGTAATATACATTTAGTAAAATATTTAATAAAAATTTTAAGTTCTCTACCATTTTCCTTATTTTATTCTTTACCTACCGAACATAACTTACGAACCAAAATGTTGGTTACTAAGATCTTCTATTTTGCAAAGATATTTCGGTCTTACATATTTTGATGTGTTACATTATCATTTTTCATTGGACTTAAATGGAGAATTCTTTTGTATTTTTATTTTCTTCTTTTTCATTTTTTGTATTTGAAAAAAAATTAAAAATACTTATTTTTTCATTTGTGTGAAAATAGCTTTTGAGAATTAGAATATTATTTTTCTTCTTAAAAAGTGGGTTGTTTTTTAGATATTTATTATAAAAAAAAAAAAAAAAATTATGTTAAAAAAAAATTTAAAAAAATAGGCCAACTGTTTAAACAATTGGGGTGTATAATGAAAAAGGACCATATGGGACATTGATTGGGAAAACAGAAAAATAAATAATGCACCAACAATCAACTAATTTGATTGGTCTTGGTCATCTATACTATATATGCATTGAATTTGTAGGAATAAATATATCATGCTGGATCAAAATAAATGCCCATCTCGTTTGTTGAAACCCAATATATCTCCTACTTCAACATATTCACAATTTCCTCCTCCAACGTGTTCACATTCTAAAATTGGAAAAACACGCTATTTCATTGTTCATACATTTATAGATACTCGATCTAATTTTTTTAAAATCAAAAATTAATTAAATGCAGCGCCGTGTGACCATGAATTCATAAGATAGTGATGGAAATTTATGGAGCCAGAGGGAGGGTCCCAACAACTTGGTATCCTCATCCCATTTCACATCCTTGTTGACTCTTTATCGTTTCATTTGGGTGGTGGTTTATCCACAATTTTCTAAATACTAAATAGATTTCTATCAATAAAGTAGCTGCTCATGGACCAATTTCAAGCCAAACCCTTTTCAGACATCATTTTCAATGATGCTACATTTACCATTAGACAATGCCCAAAGTGCTTTCAAGAGTTAATGATGCACCGGTAATTCATAACGACTTTAGGAAACAATTTGATCGTTTGTTGATTTTTCAAAGCCATCAATTTTGTAAAGTTTCGGGTACAACTCTTATAGAGAGGAGTTTGATACCCTTTGTGATAGTATTTATTTTTCTCCCATTATGAAAGTTGTAATAGTTTGTTAGGCAGGCTTGGACTTAGTAAGCTTTGTTGATTTTCTAATTTTTTTTAGAAAATATTTTAAGTACTTAATTTCAAGGCCTAAATAAATCCATTTTGAGTCATGTTTTTTTCCTGGGCTTCTTTTATATTTTAGATTACAAATTTGAGCCCAGCTCAAATCTACTATTTTTGACAATATTTGAGTTTATGTAATCTTTGTGTGGATTGTGAATTGATCACCAAGTATTGTTTGGAATAAACTGAACAGTAAGCCTTAGAAACTATTTGGTTGTTTTTAAATTATAAAATTTCAGAGAATTTTTTCTCTCTCTCTATATTGTTCATGTTTTCCTTCTGTTTTTTGTTCATTTCATCCGCTTCAATTCATCAATCAAGTTCCATGCACTATCTGAGGAGTTCAATCCCTGCAGAAATGACCTCATTAAGATATGAAAGTATGCAATCTCGAAATATACTTTAAGAAACAAATACAAATTTTGTTTTTTAAAACAACTAGCAGCTCAAGCATGACTGAGATGCCAATTCAATTAATAACACACACGAAAAAATACATATTTGTTCATTCCTGACTAAGATAAACCGTTCTGCGCTTACCCCCACGGAGAAATCAGCAAAGCATATCCTCTTCTCCTTTTTTCCCATGCAAAAATGCCAAAAACCATCTTACACTGTACATACATACAACCTGTTACGGGGGGGTTATTAGAAGGGACTCACCTGATTCAGTTGTGAAATATATCAATCGTGGGACTTGCACCATTCCTCCAATGTTGGGGTTGAAACTCCAATATTTTTCATATCGAAAATGTTTGCTGGAACGTAAAGCTCGATTTTAGTCATAGACTTGATACAAGCTAAACTATTTTTAGCAACATGAATTATTCAAAACAGTTTCAAAAAAAAAAACTACGAAATTAAAATACATTAGTAGTAAATGAAACTAGAGCTTTCAGCTACTAGAGCAAGACACATGGCACATTTCCACTGGACAGAGAAAGTATTACAAAAAATTTCTGCCCACCTCATAGAGGCTCTCATCAATAGATTATCATTATGTTAATACCCAAAAATTTAAAAATATTTGTCGAATCCATTTTTAATTTCATTTTAAATAATTAAAAAAATTGGAATCCTGCAATCTCTTGGTATCACTCGAGATGTTCTGAACAATGTCGACAGTGATGATTATATATAGATATTAAAAAGAAAGATTAAAAAACTTCAAACCATGCAAATAGTGCAAGCAAATAAAGCCCCGATTTCATTCAAAAACAATCTGGCTAAATACCAACCATTGGACAACAATGGACCAATTCCATTTGGCAGATGATTGAACAAAGTAAAGGCGAAAAATTGAAAAATGTGTTTTCATTTTCAGGTTTGTTTGATGACAAAAGAACAAATTTAACTTTTCAAAACCAAAAAAAAAAAAGCTAATATATATTTTATACATAACCATCAAGTTCCTTTGGTACTAAAGTCCTGAAAATGTAAATATAGAAACATAGCCCAACAGAACCGCCTATCTTTACCTTTCCTAGGACTATAATGACATGCATATGACCATCTCAATGCCAATAGTCTTAGTATTTAGGGTCAATCGTTTTACCAATTTGCTTAGTATGAATAAACTTTTGATCCCTTGTTGCACATAATTTCTTGTCTGAAATATATACAAGCTTCCTGTGCACTTTGATTACATATAAAGGCAGAACCTCCAGGAAGTACTACATGTGTCAATATGTTATTTAAAAGCCTCTAAATCAAGCCAAGCTTGTTTATATGCAATGTTGGATGGCCAGATTCAATCAAATTTCGACTATTGATGAACAAAACGAAAGCCCTCTATTGTTCTTTGGCCGGCCCGTGGCAAAGAGCAGAGCGGAAGCTCCAAAATTGGTAAAATTAAGAAGAGGGTTTTGAGGTGGATGATCATATGACAGCACAGAAATAGAAATAAACAACACAACAGTGAGCAGGTGAAAAAACCTCAGTTGGGAACCACATTATATAGTGCTGCCATGTGCATTGAAATCACTTAATGAATAAAGGGAGATTGTTCTAGTTGAAGGTGCTATTAGGATTAGAAAAAGACTAAAAAGGACATGAGTTATTATGGTAATGAATGCCGTCCATATGATTGATGAATGGTGTTCTAGAAAGAGGCCCATAGTAGTGATCCAAAAGCAAATACTGCTACAGATGCTCTTTGTCTGCTCTCAAATTTGAAATCATGCACACAAAAGAAAATTTAAAAGAGCTAGGTCAATAGAGACATCCCTGGGCCTGACCCAATTAGGCTGGCATAATGGTCCCAGTCCAACCAAGAAGCCCACCAAATAACATAATTAGGGCACGACTTCTATCACTATAAAAAGGGGACAATCCATGAAGAAAGGTATGTCTCAACTCTGCCCAAAACTTTCTGAATTTCATCTCTTTCTCTTTCTAGCATTCTCTTTGATTGAACTGCCAGAACCCACTGGTTTGGGTAAGGCAAACAGTGGTTTGTTTTGCTGATCTATGGGGCATACCTTTCGTTGAACCCTTCATCATCGATTGTGAGCTAAGTACAAGTCATGTCTTTGTCGGAGACCGACACTCTTTGGGCACTTTCTCGACACTCTTCACGTGTCTTATTTTTTAATGTTTTGTAAATATCCAGACACTCTTTGGACACTTAGAGGACACACATATATATCTCTTAAATACATATGTTTATCAATTAGACACATGTCAAACTAATTATAAGTTCGAATAAAACAACTTAAGATATAATAATAAAACAAAATCATATAAATTTATAGAAATTAATGTCATACTACATTTTTTTATTATCTTTGAATGATATATTCATATATATAACATATAATAAATATATAAAATTATATATTTCATGCGTGTCCCCCACGTGTTATGTCCTGTATTTTTTGAAAATTATCGTGTCCGTATCGTGTTACGTGTCCATGCTTCTTAGATTGTGGGTTAGATTTTTTCCCGCACATCTTTTAATAGTTAGTGAAATGGAGGTCTTTAGGAGGATGTTGAGTCATTTAAGTTTACACCTGTTGCTCTAATCCCTTTTTGACACTTCAGATGCCATTCTAAAAGATAACCGTAGCCTAGGTACTTGCCAGAAAAACAACCGGTGCAATTCACATGCAATCTTTGTAACTTCTTTAATCTTGATGAAATGATAAATGCTCAACACAACATATCAATTAGTAAGCAGAAGGACACCAACAGAAGGCGAATTAATGTAATGTGGTTTTCACATTTGTGGACATGCCTAAAATTAGTGTGTTAAGAGATGTGACCAAGAAATCAATGACCAGAATCATAATCATTTCTCCAACTCAAAAGGACTTACACGAAATACGTATTTAAATTTTTTCTCCTTAATTTTTGGTGTATCTTTTTTGGTGTATCCAAACGTACCTAAGCATATATATATATACCTAAATCGTATCGTACTTCAATTGAAACAATATTTTCTTTTATTACAGATATAAAATTCATTTCATTAAACTTTTTATTTTTATTTTTAGTTATATGCTTAGCATGATTTTAAAATCAAATTATGATTTGTAAGTTATTTAATATAGTTTATACATTTACTTTTGACATTAAATGTTAATTGTAGGTTGGATCTTAACAATTAAACTATTTAATCAATTTTTGCATTACTTCAAATTAAAAATATATTTTTTTTTACAAACATACCAAGCCTTACTCGTATTCTATTTTTTTTTTTTTTTACCGTATCGGCATACCCGTACCAATACTTGTACCCGTATCTATTCTTCATAGAGGATCGCTGATAAAGTCTAGAGAGATTAGAAATGCGTACCAGCATGTACGTCAGGTGTGGCAGCAGCTGTGGCATCAACAATAACAGTAACATTTTTGTAATCCAATGCTACAGCATCAAAGACAGTCTGTCTGATGCAGTTTGGAGTTTGAACACCTAGAAATAGAGAGCTCAGAAATTAGAAGTTGTATATACAGAGCAACAATCTGAATTCTACATAAGAGAATACAATACAAAGTGCATTTACCAATGACAACTAAACTATTTATCCCAGCAGTCTTCAGAAATGAATTAAGGTGCGTAGCAAAGAATGCACTAAAACGTGTCTTCACCACCTTATAATCCCCTTCCTTAATCACAAGGCCATCGACCAATTCTGCACCATCACTACCCTTCGAGGTCGGCCCTGCTTTCTCACCAGAGTATAAGTGCTGACGGAAGAGTTCCACATCCCTTCCAAGTAGGTCATGCTCGCGAACAACCTATACCCAAATTTCTCAATGATCATTTCCGGAGGAAACTGGAGCACAACTTCAGTAACCACAAAAAAAGAAAATCATGACATAACAGCTTCAGATTGTTGTTCCGACCTCGAAGGGTAGATTGTTGTTCTGTGTCCTCCAATTTGGTGCGGACACTTTTTTGAAGTTGCGTAACCATTTTTTGATTTCCAAAATTGTCCAATAACTATAACAGTTAGTTGAAGTAGTGAAGGGCATATATGTTAATTCAAAGTCTCTTCAACAACTGAATAAGAATCCCACGTTAGAGGAAGTTCGTGTTTCTTCTTCCCTGTTTTTAATTTTCATTGTTGTCATTGTGATTTAGAATTAGTTGTTTCCTTAGTTTCACACTTCTTCTTACTTCAAATTTTTGTTGGATATACATTAATTTTTATGTACGAATTTGAGTGATTGATTAATGTAATTGGGTTGTAAATATTTTACACACATCGCATGTGCACACACCCTCTAGTCGTGCAAAAAAAAAAAGAAAAGACAACCCGACACACTATTGTCTACCTCTGGTTCAATACGTCCTTAAGTAAAAATTTAACATCACAGTGATACAAATCAGGGATGATACACATCATCACTAACATGCATCGCCAACCAATAATAAAACTATATATAGCATGGTGAATGCTACTATTCAAATCTAATTACCCATCTCAACATCATTATGTAACCGCCACATATATATAACGGGTTGATCACTCTTACAAGGTAGTTTCACCGTCGTATTTTTTGTCGTCTTCTTTCTTTCTTTTTTTTTTTTTCCCCCTCTCGACATAGGCTAGGAACAACCCATCAACTATGAAGCACGAATACGGGTATGAGTACTAGTACGATACAGGTACGTCGATACGGTAAAATTCAAAAAACGTAAGGTACAAATATGGGTACGGATACGGCTTTCGCTAGGTACGCTTATAAAAAAAATATTTATTTTTAATTTAGTGTAATTTAAAAATTAATTAAATGGTTTAATTTGTTAAGATCTAATCTATAATTAACATTTAATGCCAAAAATAAATATATAAATCAAAATTAAATGTCAATATATTAAATAACTTACAAACCATAGTTTAATTTTAAAATCTTACTAAGTATAAAATTAAAAATAAAAAAGAAATCTAGTGAAAAGGATTTTTATCTCTGTAGTAGAAGAAAATATTGTTTCAACTGAAATATGGTACGGCTTGGGTATATATTAGGTACGTCTGGGCACGTCAGAAATTGAGAAGAAAAAATTTGGTACGTGTTTCGTGAACTCCGTATGTATGCAGAAGTATCATACAAAGTACCATACGCCGATAAATATCCGGTACAAATACTACATGTTTTTCAAAGTTCCTATACTTCAGAGCCCATCAGACTAAAACTCCTAAAATCCACCACTTCCTATCCATGCCATGCCATATCAATATTTTACTCAGATATTATTCATGAATCTAAAGTATAATTGTGTAATAGAAAAGCTAATATCCACTGAAGAGTAGTTCTAACTTAATTTGGTTAGCTATTAATCAAACTTTAAGTAGCAGAATACAGAAAACATTAAAGTAATAGTGTAATACAAAGCTTAACACAATCACATAACACAAATTCTCATCCGTTTTGAGTGAAATAACAAATGAACATGATTAATTGAACAAATTAAACAGAAAAAATTAGGGCAAATTACAAACACACCCTGAAATTTGCTTAAAATACGAATTGCCCTTATAGTTCGGCAAATTACAAATACCCCATTGCCAAATTTTTTTATTTAAAAGAATTAACTGAAAAAATAAAATTTCTAACTGTTCTCTTATACAATAATAAATTACTTAAATTATTAATTAAAATATATTTTTGAAATCATTAAATACAAGTAATTGACTTAATAATTTGTTAATAAAATTGACCATTTATTATGAAATTAAAAATGTCAAAGAGCGAAATGTATTTTTAAGAACTACATGGGTAATTCGTATTTTGAGTAAATTTATTTATAATTTACTCTTAAAATTAAATTGAATAAAAAAAATTAAGGATAAATTACAAAAACACTCTAAGTTTGCTTAAAATGATTCTAAAAATTACCTCCTGTCAATTAAAGTTTTTTAAAATGCGAATTGTTTCAGTTAATTGTGTTAAATAAAAAATTCTAATAAGGTTATTCGTAATTTTTTAAACTACGAGATAATTTGTATTTGTAATTTATCAAAAAATAAAAAATAAAATTAACAGAGTATGTATGAAACTAAACAGAAAGTGATAGATTGAAGAGAAGAAAGGTACCCAAATTACAAGGATGCCACGGCGTCGAGCAAATTCAACGGCATTAATGACTTTGGGGACAATAGATTGGCCACCATCTACACGCATCAAACCATCTGGTAAAATGAAATCTTTCTGCAGAGAAACCCCCCCCAAAAAAAATAATAATAATTAAGAAAAGGGTTTGGGTTAAATTTTGGAGCTAAGAGGAAAGAGAGAAAGAGAGACCTGCATATCTATGACGAGAAGTGCAGTGTTGTTGGATTTATGATTATCAGAAGAAGAAGCCATTTTTGGGACACAAACAGAGGTTCCTGAGCTGGGGTTGAGTTGTTGATAAAGATTCGTTGCGTCTGTCACTATGCGTGTTTGGGGAATCTCTTACGTGGGCGGCCTCGAAGCCCGCTCACGGTTTGGGGGTGAGTTCGGTCCGCTTAGGCTCATTTAGACTCTGGTCCAAGTCTTGTCGAAAGCCTTAGGTCTAGGTCTTGGGCTTGGACTTGGACTTGGGCCATCGTTTTAAGGATCGGCCTAGCTTGTGGCCCGGCCTGCTTGACCCATTCAAAAGCCCAACTTAAGGCCAGTCTACCCAAGACTCAACGTTATTTTTAATGAAAAATAATAAATTTTTGATGAAAAAAATAAAAAAATTTAATTAGGCCCGCCTAAGCTCACTCAAAACTCGAGCCCAAGCCCAGGCCTAGGTCCACTGGCCCGTTCAAAGCCCAAATACCCTTGAGCATGGACTTGGGCTTGGACCTGAGCCTAGTTTTTTGGCCCGCGTACTGGCCCGGTCCAACTCGATTTTTGGGGGGAGCCTACAAGACTCGACATGGGCCCGGCCCGAGCCCGAGCTAGAGCCCGGATGGCCGAGTCGGGCCAAAATTATACCCCTAAAGGCAGTGTAAAAATTGGACCTTTCTTTAAATTTTAATTAAGTTGGGTGTTATTTCAATTGTGTTAGTCGATTTATGTAAAATATAGGAGGAATCTATCTATACTATATATTAAGCAAAATGAGTTTTTTAATCCCAAGCCTTGTGGGAGTTCCAATCTCTCAATCTAATTTTTCTGATTTTTTGATTTAAAAAAAAAAACTTTAGCATTTATTAACTTCTCCCAACTCCCAAGTCCTACCCTCATAATAACACTTTAATGTATTAAAAACAAACATAAAAAAAAAAAAATTGAAATCCAACACATATGAATTTCTTGAAAAGTCCCAACACATATGATTATTATCCCTCATAATAACACTTTAATACATTAAGAACAAGTATAAAAAAAAAATTCTTGAAAAGTCCAACACATATGATTATTATCAAAATATTAAACTTTAATATAATATAATAAAAAAAAGACATTTAATTCCTTGAAAAGTCTAACACATATGATTATTATCAAAATATTAAACTTTAATATAATATAAAAAAGGAAAAAAAGAGGGCATTTAAAAAAAAAAAAGACATTTAAAAATCGCAATTCACATATATAGATAATTGTAAACACAATCAGTGCATAGCATGGGTGATATGTTAGTACTATATATTAAGCAAAATGAGGTTTTTAAACCCCAAGGCCTGTAGGAGCTTCAATATCTCAATCTGAATTTTTAAAATTTTTTATTTAAAAAAAAAACCTCAGCATTTATTAATTTGGTCAAAATTCCCTAATCAGCATTTATTAACTTTTTTCAATCCACATGTCTTTCTACATGCCTGCATTTATTGATTTGGTCAAAAATTCTTGATCAGCATTTAAAATCACATCATACAAATAATTATAGATACAATCCGTATATAATTATTGCAGTACCCTTTTCAACTTCTCCCATACACTATTGTTAGTGATAAGATTGTTAAATTATTTTTATAAAAAGTCTTAAAAAACATAATTTATATATTAAAAAAAATCTAAAACAAATACAAATATCTAAAATTATTCCGTACATAGCACGGGTGATAGGCTAGTAATAATTAATAGAGATATGATAACAAAATAAAAAATAATAAGGTTGTTATCTAATAATATCTTATTATATTTATATTTTCATGTATATGTAGCAACATATTTATTTGTGTTGGATTTGATTTTTTTTAAATTAATTTTTATTTATTTTTAGCTTTTTTATATTTAAATTATTTTTTTAAGATATTTTTTAGATGTATATTATTAAGATATATCTTAAAATTAAAATAAATTGACTAAATTTTTTAAAAAAATCATTAAAAACAAATGAAGATTCGAACAAAAATTTGTGTACATTTTTATTCAAGTTTTAGTTTATTTTTAGTGATTTTTTTTTCATATTTTAGGTTTTTTTTTTAACTTTTTAAATACATGACAGACGAAAACTTATCTAAAAATAATTTTTGAAAACTTATACCAAAGAAAGCAAATATTTTGAAACGAGGAATTTACCTTTTACATGTAGATTTATTGTTGGTGTGTGATACCACATGTCATATTTTTATAATCTCTCCGTCCCAAAATATTAGTCCCTTATTTCATTTTTCATTGTCCCAAAATATTAGTTCATCTTCAAAAATCAAGTACAAAAATAATATAAATTTCTTATTTTGTCCTTCTTTTAAATTAATAAACAATATAAAAAGTACAATTATGACATTGAGATTCTCAAAAAATGTACTATCAAAAGGATAATTTTGAAAAATCAACTTTTTTAAAGTGTAAACAATATAAAAAGTACAATTATGACATTGAGATTCTCAAAAAATGTACTATCAAAAGGATAATTTTGGAAAATCAACTTTTTTAAAGTGTAATAATTATACTACCAAAAAAAGTTGGATTCCCCAAAAAGAACCAATATTTTGAGACAAAGAGAGTAATTCAAATTATTCATTTTATAAGATACTTTATATATATATATATATATTATTTGTTGGTGAAAATACCAGAAAAAATATATTTTATTAATAAATAATGCAAAGAAAATGAGATACAAATAAATCAGGTTGAGGTACGGATATCTCGTTTTCTTTAAGGAGATCAAGCCCACTGCGGTAGGAATGACCCAAATACCGATGCAGCAGTTACAAAACTATGACTTGTCCTCTCCAGGATACAACAGCCCGACCACTTGTCGTATAGTTCAGACCAACTCTACACAAGATAATGAACCCAAAGCTCCACCAAGAAAAACACCCTTTTTTACTAGTAATCTCTCAAGTATAGAAAATAGTTGGTGTGTTGGTGTAGAAAAGAATAAAAGAGAGGAAATATTTATAGGTCACTAGGACATTACAAAATATATCAAAAAATAATAATGACCATGAACCTAAAGAAAATGGAGAGTGTATCCAAATATTAACTCACCACCAAGTTCATGAATTCTAATTAATCTCCATTCATGAACAAGACAAAAGGACACCAAAACAATGAATCTCTATTCATGAACAAAACAAAAGAAGATTCATTAACAAAAAAAATATATAAATAAATAAAAGATATTAAAATAGTTCAATAATGTCCCACTCATTTTAATATCAACAAGGACAAGAAAGATTACCAAACAAAGATAGACTAGTATGCATCATGAAGGTGTGCTCTGCATTGAACCTTCATTAGTGAAACAACAATCTCTACTCTAGAGTCGGAAGTGGTCTCAGACTTGAACTATAGCTGTTTAGAGGAAATAAAATATTACTGCTCACACATAATAATCCAAGTGTTGACATGAGCTTTTAATAATTAGCACATTACGGTCTTGTGCTTATTCCAGTTTTCATGAGCATATTTGAGAATAAGCCTTGTTCTCATAAAAAGCGACCCCACTTTCATGCTCACATTGGTGAAATATGTCAAGGATGTTCCTGTAATTTACACACCCCACTCAACAAGAGCTACAAAATTTCATTAAGAGTATAAAAACTCAACCCTCCAACATTACAAGACAAATGCATTTACATCATAGGGATGGATAACAAAATATTAAAGAGTGCATTTTTACAATCACCATATGATTCGTTCTTCCCATTGAACGTAGTTACAAGATCTCTGGTCCTTAGGTTGGGTATCGTCATACATGGTTTATGATTTTATAGGCTTCAAACCCATCCCCCTCGATGTATTCTAGACCCTATCTCTCGCCAAGGCCTTGGTTAATGGATCTGCAAGATTATCACAAGATCTTACATAATTCACAGTTATGATGTCATTACTCAAATAGGATCTCACATTACTGTATTTCGTTCGAATATGTTTGAATTTACTATTATAAAAATGGTTGTTCACTCTACCAATAGCAGCAGTGCTATCACAACGAATTAATACATGTGGAATTAGTTTTTCCCAAAAAGGAATTTCATGTAACAAATCTCTCAACCAATTCGCTTCCTCACATGCTGAAGCTAACACTATAAGCTCAGCTTCTATTGTAGAATTAGCAACTATAGTTTATTTTTTAGACTTCCATCATATAGCACCACCACCTAAGGTAAAAATAAAACCCGAGGTAGAGAGAGAATCACCTGACAAAGTGTTCCAATCGGCATCACTATATCCCTCAAGTACCGCGGGATACTTGTTATAAAACAAACCATAATTTTTTGTTCCAAATAAATATCTCATAATTCTTCCCATGGCTAGCCAATGATCTCGACTTGGCTTGCTAGTAAACCTGCTAAGTACTCCAACAGCATATACAATATCAGGTCTAGTACAGTCAGTAGCATATCTCAAACTACCAATCATGCTAGCATATTCCTTTTGATTAATCACTTCTTTTTCATTTGTTACAACAAATAAATGTATGCTTGCATAAAAAGGAGTAGCAACATGTTTGCAGTCTAGAAAATTATATTTCTTTAAAATTTTCTCAACATAATGCGACTGATTAAGAAAAATGCCATCATTAGTCTTGGTAATTTCAATTCCCAAAATAAAATTGGTTTCACCAAGATCTTTCATATCAAAGTGGCTATTAAGCATATTTTAGTCTCATTTATAATATGCAAATTAGAGTCAAAGATAAGTAGATCATCCACATATAAGCTAATAATTACATATGCATTCTCACAAGTTTTATAATATATGCACTTATCACATTCATTAGTCTTATAGCCATTCTCAAGCATGCATGAATCAATTTTCTCATGCCACTGTTTAGGAGTTTGTTTTAAACCATAAAGAGATTTAGTTAGCTTACACACCTTACTTTCTTGGCCAGGCTCCACAAAGCCTTCGGGTTGGTCTATGTGAATCTCCTTATCTAGATCTCCATTTAAAAATGCTATTTTCATATCCACTTGATGAATTTTTAAATCATGAATTATAGCCACTGCTATCAACAGTCTAATGGATGTAATTCTAGTAATCGAAGCAAAAGTATCAAAGAAATCAAGATCAACTTGTTGCTTAAAACCTTTAGCGACAAGCCTCACTTTATATTTATCT